GTTATGCACTTAATGCCCCTCCACATGCTCCGAGGGTCTTGTGAGATGAATTGACCCTCGATCCTCTTTGCATATGTGGCCTTGGCCCTCTTAATACCAGCAACCAGCTCTTTTCTTGTCCTACTCAGCTCCTCTGAGTTTCCAGACCTGAAGGCAGTGTTCCTGGCTTCCAGCAGGGTACGCACCTCTGCATTCAGCCAAGGTTTTCTGTTTGGGTAGCTTTTAACATTTCTGATAGTGGAGACTGTGTCAGTACATGTACTAATGTAACCCAGTACTGAGGATGTGTATTGGTCAAGATCAAGCGAACCTCCATTTTCAGCAGCTTCTCTGAAAACCTGCCAGGTCTGTTCGGTCAAAACAATCTCTCAGTATGGGGCCACTGTCCTGGATCCAGTATTTAACTTTCTTTTGTACCGGTCTGGAGCGTCTCAGCGGGGGCATGTAAGCAGGAGCCAGGAAGATTGAGATGTGGTCTGACAGTCCTAGGTGGGGGCGGGGTTCGGCTTTGTATGCATCTTTTACGTTCGTGTAAACACGGTCCAGCATGCGGTCTCCACGTGTTGGAATCGTCACATGCTGATTAAAGCTTGGGAGACAGTCCTTTAGATTCACGTGGTTAAAGTCTCCGGCTACAACGTAAAGAGCCTCGGGGTGTTTGCTCTGCAGCGAGCTGATGATATCATGAAGCTCCTGTAGTGATTCATTAGCATTAGCGTCCGGAGGAATGTAAACAACTGTGATAAAAGTCACTGTGAACTCTCGGGGTAGATAATGTGGCCGACATTTCACTGTTATTTGCTCCAAAGCCTTCGAGCATGAGCTATTAACAACAGTACAGTTCGTGCACCAACTTTTACTCACGTAAATGCACACTCCGCCCCCCCGTGATTTCCCCGTTAGCTCGCTGCAGCGGTCCGCTCGAAATAAAAGTCTGTCATCCAGCTGGAAGACTGAGTCCGGCGTTTCACTTGTAATCCACGTTTCCGTGAGGCAAAGCACTGCACACTTCTTCATCTCTTCTGAGGCGCCCGCTCTCAGACGAAGTAAATCCACCTTGTTGTCCAACGAGCGGACATTCGACAGAAAGAGAGTCGGCATGGGGAGTTTACCGGCTTTAGCGTTAGCTCGTAGCCTCACCATAACCCCCGCCCGGCATCCTCTCCTCTTAAGCCGGGAGCAGCGCTTCCTCTTCTGCCCGCTGGAACGCCTCTGCTGCAGCTTGATTGATGCAAATGAAAATATCTTGTGTTGAGAAATGACAAAGTTGTAGTTGGTTTGGTCAAGTCTTGTATTATTATCACAACATTTGCTGTGATCTTACTTTATATGTCATGTGTTGTGAATAACTCAGCTACCAAAAAAATATAAAATTGTTCAATATCTGTAAAATTACCTGCCGTAATTGCAGTTGTGCAAGCCACTGCTTTTTCCTCACTTTGTACCCCTTTGTTTAAATGCAGGAGCGTCTTATTTATGTTTTTTTTTCGTAATTTTTACAAGTTATATTTTTATTTTAAGAGACTTCCTGCCCTCTCTAGGTAACTTCCTGCCACTGAATAACATTTTCATTTGACAAAGCTGGGCGCTCACAGCTCCCAGCACCCAGCACCCAGCACCCTGCCCCTCTTGGGGGTAGGTGTTTGTGACACAGAGTGAATGCCCTCAGGTATCCATATGAACAAAGACACTTGCTTAGGGTTTCAAATTCCTTACAATAACTCCACCCACTCTGTTATCATGTGACCAGAAGTCTAACATGAATGACCAATGAGGTACTCTCCAGGACAATACCCCAAGATAGACGTGAATTAATTTCTTCAAGGCATGAAACGGAGCAGAGGAGACAACGAACCGGAGGGGTTCTTCCCCCTCACCTTTCCTTCAAGCGCTCAGCAAAGAAGTCAGATTTATTTTAAAGCAGTTAGTCAGTCAAGACTGATACATATTTAAATAAAACTTTTTTAATAAGTGTGTATGGTAAATATGTGTTTACATACCAATATCTCATTTAAGCTTAAACGGGGGCATTAAACGGAGCAGAGGAGACAACGAGAGGGAGGAGGGACTGTTCCCCCTTCCTCCTACTGCTCATATGAGCAGTGCTGAGGAGATATCATAACAATAATAATACTTTATTTATAAAGCCCTTTAAAACAACCACAGCTGCAACAAAGTGCTGTAAATATAAAATCAAGAACATTTAAACACATAAAACAGTTGTTAAAACATTAAGATCAATAAAAACAATAAAAAC